AAAGAGAGCGGAGAGTGATAAAGTACGTTTCGTAGTATACGAAGTCCTGTTTCCCTGCGGCTTCCACATACATGTCTCCCTCTCTCTCTCTCTCTCTCTCTCTTTTTTTAAACGCTTTTCAAAACTACAGCTTCATAAAGCAGTGCTTCGTACTTTTTATTCCTAACACTAACAATAAGCGATGAGTATCAAGCCTCTGTAACTCGCTGTACTCGCTTTCGATCTCGAAACGTCGCGTATCTCGCGTACGTCGCGTTTGATTGAATTATAGTGGACAGCTTTCCGATCTCTTCGTTTCCTCGCAGCATGAGCTTCACAGCGATTGAATTACAGCCACTGTCTTTTACACTGACTAGATAAAACATTGGACTTCATAAATAGCACGATTTTTATACTTCAATGCAAAACGTCAAACAGAAAATTTTATAATAATTTTTTGACAGCGGTTGGACATGAATGTGATCGCTCTGAATAATAGAATGAAAACATTTTTTGAAATATATATGGAATATATCAACTCTCGCGGATACGTAAAAGGGGTCTTTTAAATTGCGATAGCCACAGCATCCCCGACACCGAGGATGCATAATTTATTCGTAGATTTTATAGCGAGCTCGCGCTATCTCTGTTTCCGTGCGGATTGAATTATATAGGGCGTCGCCTTGATCCCTTTGGAGGTTGGATCTTGCACCGACTAAATTATAGACTTTGCCATCGTGAATATAGACTAAGCAATGAGAGGCACGTCGCACAACGTCTGAAGTAAACAGATAAAGCTCTTTGCACGCGCGCGTGCAAGAGACAGAGAGAGAAAGAGAGAGAGAGAGAGAGAGAGATGGAGCTTTCTGTTTCTTCAGTCGGCAAAAGTACGAGGGAACGGAAGCTCGCTTAAGACGGCGCTTATCATTCATTCTGCCTCCGCGCTCCTTCATCTATACGATTCATCTACCTTTGTCGTTCGCTTCCTTGAAGAGTCTATGATAGGATAAGTTGATTAATGGCGAGTATACAAAGGAGTTTTACAGTTTCAGAGCGAGAACGATGAAATATTACGAAAATGTAAGCAAAATAAAAGAAAAAAAGTCTGATGTATGATTTTCAAATCACGGTGTTAGCGTTTTTCATTTTTCAACGATAACACGATATCGGCAGACTTTGATACAATGTATTGATAGTTTGGATAAATTTTAGAAAAAAGCTAACAATTAATTCAAATTAATTATTTTTTGAAGAGAGAAAAAGAGATAGAATAAAACTTTAAATTTCCACCATCATAATAACAATTTACAAATAATTTAATATATTATTTATATATAATTTATAAATATATATGTATACATATATATTTATATAATATATGTATATAATTTATATATAATATTATATAATTTTATTTTTTAATTAGTTAAAACTTTTACAAGTTTAAACTGTAATTGTGCTCTGCAAAGCTAACAAATGATTCTATCTAATTTTAAGCGTAATAAACATTTTGCGATGTGTATAACGATCAAAGGATTGATTCGGGTTCGCGGTATATGTATAATATAATTTTAGAGAATTTACGGATATCATCTCGCTAAAGAATTCTAAACGAACGGAGGAGGGAAGAAGGCGGTAGTCGTTCGGGGGAGATCCTGAGCCGCGAAAATCGCTTGGGATTCGTGTTGTTTTATGAGACATTGGAACGCTCGTTTCGCATTGTTTGTTCGCATAATAATTTACGTACCGAGTTGCTTGTAGAACGACTACCGGCTTGAAGGCGACGGCACGAATAAGAAATGTTCTATATATGTCATATGTGCGTGTGTGTGTACGTGTGCGAAATAGGAGCGGAGGAGATCGGATATGGGGAGAAGAGAAGGACGGGAGGAAAACGCAGAGAGCGAAATAATATGAGAAGAGCAAAAGCGAAAGAGGAGAAGAGGACGTGTATTCGCACAGATATCTATACGAGCGACACCAAGCTTTGCCTCGCAATTTTATTTTCGTCTCATTTCTGAGCGATATCTCTATCCTTTTGTGCGGCTGCTTCCTTCATCATTACGTCCACTTCTCTTCTCCCTCATTTGTCTCTAGATTGCCTACTGTATTGTGTATGCGGCATGATTATGAGTGTACCCTGCGGAATGACAGTCGACTGTTACGAGACTCGCCCATTTACAAAAGCGAAAATCCGTACTCGCATGCTATATTAAGAGCTGAACGCGATTTTTACCTCATGTGAATAAAAACCAGGATATTGTATAGGAACTAAAAGGTCAATTCAGATTCGAAATATCGTCAATAAATATTAAAAGGACTTGATATATATAATTCGATACTGTAACGTTATTAAGCTAAATTTTTCTAAACGCTCCATGGACTATTTTAGATATCGATAAATTGCAATCTTTTTAAGATCACGACGAAAATATTTCAGAATAAAAATGTATAAGTATCGTGATGGAAATATTCAATGCAACAATGATTTAACCTGTTTTTACCTTTTATTTTAATTTAAAAGGGAATTAAATTTATTTCATATATAAATTTAATTTTCTTAAAGAGTATTTGTGAAAACTGGGTAAATCGTTGTAACGTTAAATCTTTCGATTCGATTTTACGATGCGTACACAACTGCATATTTCAGAGAAACTTGGAAGTAACGAAGTAGAATCTCGAGACGCTCAAAATGTACGATAAGGAGCGCTTAGCATTGTGCGCCAGTCGGACGGAAGGTTTCACGACCTTGCAGCTTCTCGCACGTCCTTTTAACGCTAAGATGGGTACTTGAGCTTTCATGACCTTGCGCGTCCGCATTGTCCGGTCTTTCAAGACACACCGTCTTTGGAACGGCGATTAATTGGAACGGGCCGTGTCTAAGGTTGTGGGTGAAAGCGTTAAGTAGAGCTCACGAAACGGCTGAATCACCTCCCGCGAGAAACTTGAACCGTCGTCCGCCACGACCAAGACAATGACGCGGAAAATGGGCGCCTTTGTACGACGTTTTCAAAAGGGGATTCACGTCGCCAGCCTCGACGGGGAGCGACGTGAGACATTAATCAAAAGAGATCATAAAGTCTGAGAAATTGTAACTATCAAGAAATTCGCAGCTCAAATCGGGATCATCTCTCGGCGCTATTCTTTCAGGCTCGTCTTCGCGACACGAATTTTACTTCGGGATCAATATGGTAATTGAGGGGGGGGGGAGGTAACACTTATCGCAAACGGTGGCCCACCAGTTCCACGAATTCGAACATCAAAGCGAGATCCAATCCGCCTATTACACGTCTCGCGCTCCAAATCGCATCCGCGCGAATCCCACATTTGCGAGGCGTCAGGAAGAATTTGCGTCGGCCGGGACTGCTCTATCTCTCGCGCATGTTATCGCCATAATTTCCATGGATGGAACACGCCGGATACAGCAGGGAAAGGGAGGATAATGGTAACGCATTCCATTTGCGTAACACTCCGCGCGATTCGCCCAAGTATTTCTCTCCATCGTTGATGTTCAAAAGGAACACCCCTCTACCGCGTGTATATAACGGGACGGGAGACGAACAACAAGCGCGCGCGTGCGCGCGCTCGCGTGTAGTCTCGTCTTGAATAAAAGATCGTTTTGAGAATCAGCGCGCAGCGGGATCGAGACGAGACCGGGAGTAAAAATCGCGTATCGGATGCTGGTTAATTCATGGCAGACTGGGAATCCCGCGGGATAGACGGGTAAAAAGAGAGCGGAGAGTGATAAAGTACGTTTCGTAGTATACGAAGTCCTGTTTCCCTGCGGCTTCCACATACATGTCTCCCTCTCTCTCTCTCTCTCTCTCTCTTTCTTCCTCTTTTCTGAGTATCCAGTCGATTTTTTGCCAAGTACCGCGCGTTTAGTTCTCAGATATTCTGCTGAATCCTGGAGAAAGATCTCGAGGATCGGAAAGCACTTGGGCGAGCATGTTGAACGAATTAAAGTTTAAAAGGCTGCCAACACACCGCGACCTACGACAGATCCGAGTCTCGGGCTTGAAAGTTTTAGCTTGGCTTTGTCGCCGCTTAACCCTGGATGAGTAATGCGAGGTATAATGGGTCTTGCGATAAGTAACTCATCTTAAAACCTTCCACGTGACGTTAAATCGACAACATTAATCTTCCATCAGTATTCTTCCACTTTACTTTGTAAAAGATTTCTCACTGCTTAGTGTATTAAGAAAATTCGTCGATAACATTAAGTTCGCTATTTAATTAGATTTATATCTGAACGAAAAACTTATTAACGCCTTTGAGAAAAGCAGTGGTTTTACATATAATTAGAATAATATAATAATATGGTTCCCCTCATAAGATAATTCAGAGGATAATTAATCGACAAAATTAAATTTTTATATGAGAAAATCGACATGTGTTAAATTTTAAACAATTTTATTTATATTTCTGGGAATCTCTCCTTTTCGATTGGTCACGCCACGCGTTCGAGAGTAGCTTTCGTTCTCGAGCAATATCCAAATGAATAATTTCATTTGAAAAAACCCAGAAAAACATTATCGTTATGGTAATATCGTAAATAAATTTGCAATCTATACTTTTATTACGAATAGCAGCATCGATAAAATAATAAAATATATTCATATTCATAATACATAACGATGTAATCGAATCGAACAAATATTATGAGATTAAAGCTGATCGAGTCTTTAACATTAAATAATAAAAAAGGAAAATAGAATTTTTCTATTTCAAGAAAACAGTGAAGAAGATACATAACTCTCAAATTAATTCTTGCTTAAATAAATTCAGGTTAAAATTAAATTATGTTATCTATTTGTATCTTTAAATTTGCGACTCGATATCCTTGTCATGAAAAATTTTAATCAGGATTGAAGAAAGGAATTAGGAAAATGTTTACAGTTAATGTAAAAGATAAATTCTTTATATTTTTGAGAAATCTCGGTTTTATCATTTTTTTTTTCTGAACGATATCATTTTTCTGGGCAGACGTGTATTGTAAAAAACAACAGTTGAGTACTCACCGCATGCACCCTGATGCTTCACTCTGGTGTTTTTCCTTTTGTGGCAGCTCGCCTGTCGTAAGTGACAGTAATTCGTGTAGGTCACGTCGTCGGAGCCGCAGACAGGATCGGAAGTCAAAGGACAATCCGCAGGACACTGACACAGAGCCTTGCCGTTTTCGGACACGACGCACGTCGCGCCCCAAGCGCAGTAAGTCTTCTCGCAGGGTTCTGAAACGAGAAAAAAGCAACCCTTCTTTATTTTTAATCGCCGGACGCATCCAACGTCTCGAAGCGTATCAAGTCAAGCATAATCGATAATCAGTTGTTCTCAAATTCTATCGTATTATAAGTTATTGCTTCTACAATTTTATGATTATTCTCTTATTGTTTGCCAGTGTATATCTGATATCATAAATAATATATGTTTGAGAACAACTAGATCAACTTCTGTAGACACAAGAGATTCAATCCTCTGATAAATTCTAGTGCGCTTGAGAGTTTGACGAAAATTTAGTTTGAAGTTTAATTGTTAAAACATTCAAGTTGAAAATTAATGTGTGATAATAAATGATTAGTGCCAGATATTTATTAAGGAAATATCGTTTGCATTGCCTTTCTTTTTACATTCTCTGTCGAATATCATCAATCGTTATTTCGATATAAATATTACTTTCAAGATGGATTATATATAGCTCTAAAATAAACTTTTATTTTTACAAATTACAATGCTACGTGTCAGAAAAAAGCTAGCTTTGCATTCTTAATCTTCAAAGTTTTCTCTTCTAAGTCCCTTCAAAATCCCTAAATAACTCACTATTTTATCAATCTTGACGAGTTTCACAGAAAGAAAGTTAACAATAGAAAATAACTTTGCGGCGATCTTTGAATTAAATCCTAAGGAGTGGTTAATATCACTGGAAAGCATTACGTCTCACTAATTATTAATTCTAATTAAGTACCAACCTTTCTTTGTACCATTCAAAACACAATAGAAGGCAGAAAGTCAGTATTAAGATTGATTCGCGAGCGAGAGAATGAATTCATGCCGATGAGAATTTTATGGTTACAGGGTTTCTACTTGGGCGAATAAAGATCGATTTGCATGCACACAGAACCTCGTACTGATTATTCCTACGTAACGAGTCTCAAAAGCGCGTTGTGTCGATAACACGCAACATCGTACAAAAGTTTGCATTTTTTTTTCTCCCAGCAGAGCTGTCACGAACCAAGCGCGTCCAATGGAAGAATGCCAATTACAGCGAAAATAATTAATAACCGCAAATCTCGTGGGAATTAATTAATTTCTCGGCGAGTCTTGCTTTCTCGTTTGAATCTCTTGAGGGACTCCTCCTACTTTCCTAATTCTGCAATTTTTTTTTTGCTTCGCCCTTTGTCGACAAAATATAATGTCGATTTATAATAATATTTTTAATTGTTTCGTTGAAAAGAGGAAAAATCGCGTTGCGTTTAAACTTAGTTTAATTCATCATTCAACGCGGTTGGACTCCTATCTTCCTCCTTCAGTCTTTCTCCGGCGAGCCCTCCGACTCGCGTAAGCGCAATCAATTTTGCGAAGAGGTTCGTTCCGCGTGAAAGACGGACCCGCACGGAGAGAGAGAAATCCCGACGGATAATCCCGTACTGCGCGGTCATTAATACAACGGACGAGTTAATCCCCGGCGAAAAAATGGCCGAATTCGCGCGCCAACCAGTCGGTATAATGATTCCCTTCGCGATAACCGCTCGAAGCGGAAAGAGAAGACGGACTTTCGCGCATTTCTTCGACGTACTTCTCCATTTTCCGGTCATCGTGAAACGGTCGCCGAACGACGTCGTCTGTCGACCGGCCGCGACCGAAAAAAAGCGATAAAGAGCCGTTTTTTTGCCGCTCGCCTCGATCCTTCTTATCGGCGTTTTAGAACGGGCGCGGCTCTGGAAACCGCATTTCCGGTTCTGCGAACCACCGATGAATTTCTTCGTCCAGAATCGCTTCTCGTTAGGGTACCTTTTTCTGTTTACAAGTTCCAGGCTTGAGCTTCCTTTCGAGACGTTCTTCAGAAGAGCTAACATATGAGCAGCAATGTATCTTTCCCGTTTCCATTTCAACCAAAGTAAATTTTCAAACTTTTTCCAAATACTCTACTTGCCTTAATAAGGATTTGAAATTCGTGGTATGAAAAAAAGTGTGATAATTAATATTCTTTGGTTGCAAAATTATTTAGTGTTAAAGATTAATAAGATCGTAACAAAATTTTAAATAATATCGTCAGAGATACATAAAAAATATAAACGTAGAGCAAGAGAGACGCTAAATATGCAATATTAATAAACGAAAATTTTAACAAATTACAAAATATAGAAAATATAATACAATAAAACTCTCAAGAATTCGAAAAAAAAATCTAGTTTCGGGAAAATATAAAATATGTGTAGAATATTTTTTCATCACACACATATTTTGCATATTTCCATAAATATAATTTGAATCCTATGTCATAGCGAATTGCAGTAACAGCGAATCTCTTTTTTCTCTCCCGTTTCACTGGTGTAGCAAACCGGTCGTTTTTAATGGACGCCGCGGGGGGTAGGTTTATTATACAAAATTTTTGATTTTTTACAGATGTCGATTTTACAATTCCTTGTTTCGGACAGACTGATGCGCGATGTAACGCGCCTGGTACTCGATGCGTTTCGAACAAAATTATATCCGGCTCGATGATATTGCTGTCGACTATTGTTTATAGCGATTCACGCCGCTCGCCGCAGAGTGTCGGTGTAATTTTTGACGGTTGGAGCAACAATGCCAATTGTACGATCTCTTCCCTTCCCCCATTCGAGAGGATTTACGCTGTATGTACATAACAGCGAAAGGGGCGAGGGATCCGGATGTGACAGGGGACACAATTATTTTCCCGCAATGTGGAAAATGCGACGGGGTACTATTATGGCGGCTTGATCGGTTTAGCGCGTGTAAATAATATTTAATAAAAATATATTCTATTCTGTTTGTCACAAATTTCGAATTTTGTGACATTTCTAACGCTGTATAAACTGGACTTTTTGATTGTGCACCGATAAGAAAAAAAGTTATAGGACCTATTTATACAAACTCCTTAAATATTAAATCTATTTCTGACTATTATTCCGGATTATTTAAATCATTGCTTGACTAAGATAATATTAATATATAATGCAGAAGAGCACCTGGCTTATATTTTTCGGTTCTTAATATTTTATTCAAGTACAAAATAGTGCTAGTAATTTAAATGTTAAAAATTCGGGAATCTTTACGTTTGACTGACATCGATATTTCTGAAAAACGGAATATTATTCGAACTCGAGTATTCATGAGCAACATTCATAAATCAAGTTTATCCACGTTGCACGTTTTGACATATAAAACCGTCACAAACATCTTCATTTTTCTTTTTTTACAATATATGTAATAAAAGTCTATCATATTGATTGTCAGCTAGCCGTGTTTATCTATCATCGATAAAAGGTTTGTGTTGAAACAGGATTTTTCGATAAATGCAGTTGCAGATGCAATCAGCTGTCAATATTTGCTTCACTGCAATTCGACTAATTATAGTTTTCAAAGAACGACATTTTTACGGCAATAAAATAAATTTAAATAAGCTCTAGAAGTTCAAACCCAATTTCTGTTATCTTTTAAATTAAAGTAATAATTTAATTTAATATTAAGTATAAAATATTAAAATATTACAGATCATTAAAATTCTTTTGTAGCTACAGGAATACGGAAAATTAATGTCTTTTAAAGAAGCAAAAAAGATCTAAAAAAATTCATATTATTTTTATTTAAAAGAAAAAGAAAAAATATAAATCTCATCTGTTTTTACAAAAACGTCAGAAATCGTTTCGTTTAACCAACATCGCCGAGTGTTGCATAAATCTGAATATGTGATTTATCGAGAGAAAATTTGTCGTTAGTTGTAACGTAAAAAAAGTTACACATGTCCGTCACGATTAATTTAATCATATCGTTCCGTCGAAAATTCAATCATTCAAAAGGTAAAAAACGAAATATCTCGATAACGATATATAAATCCCGCAAGTAAAAACCACGGCCCCGTTGTAAGCCTTGAAATCCATAACATGCATCAGTTTGAGTCAGTCATGTTTCTAAAGGTGAATTTTACACCTACATTGCCTCGAAGGAAATTCTGACGTGAAACGATTAAAAATTTATGCATCTCAATTTGCAACGTGATATGACGTTTCCAGCTGTCTGTATAAAACTGACAAATAAAATCGTAATTTTTAAAATAGTTTCTATTTTCGACACAATTTTTATTATTTTGAGACGCACATTTGCGCAAATATTTTTGTTATATAAAATTTATGCTTGTATAATCGCGAAAATTATATATTGAAAAAAGACCCTTCCTAAACTTTCAAATCGTCAAATCTTATTTCAATCGTCTAAACTTGACTATATGTTTATACTAAAATGATATATAAGTCATCCAGCAGTCCATGGAAAATAATTAAAAAAGTTAAAGAATAAAACTGATAATATAAAAGCTTTAAAATGTGATTAAAATTATTATATATTTAAAAGAGGATAAAACAGGGACTTTTTAATGTGTGTGTTCTTAATTTAGAAATTTCTATAAATTATTCAAACTTTATTTAATAATAAGTTAGAGAAACGAGCAATCTTGAATGATTAATTTTCTAATCTTACTGCCACATTAATAATATTCTTAATCCTAAATTATTCCGCGAATAATTTCGAGCATGTCATTCGTCCCGCATGACAACAGAACAAAATATATTCAAATAATACGATATATGATAGAAAGTGAGGAAAAGGCCGTGAGAAGAAAGTCGATGCGCGCGCATCGCTTCTCGTCGCTTCCGGAATGAAATGCCGGTTGCTGATAATTAATCCCGGTTGCCAGTTCCGCGGGACGACGAAGACGGATCGCGGGCTTAATTGCGGCGGGAATGGAACTCTTTTCTGCAAGCGAGCGGCGAGAAAGCCGGCATATCTCGCGATATGAACACGTTGCAAACGTCGCGACGTCCGGCCGCGACCCGTGATTAATGCCTCGCCTCGTTTACCGTGCGATCGGATCGTTGGTATAATTAATTAACCGCTCTCGCGTTCTCGTCGCGTCCTCATTGCCAGGACAATATGAACTGCGTATAAGGAGGAGGTCCTTATCATCGAGAGCCGAGCGGTATTAGGTTGTCTTATC